AACTACAAAGCAGACTGGAAGAAAACCATTGCCAAGGGATATGATCTGAAACCAGACGCCATCCCTATTATTGCTGCTAAAGCTTCTCGAAATATTGCAAGCGATGTAAGTCCCGTTTGCGTGAAGTGGAAGGCACACATCTACTGCGTGACAGCTGTCTCTGGCATACTGTGCTGTGGAGCGTATGCTGTGTACAGAGAGCTGTTCAGAGACACTTAATTCTGCGAGTTGAAACTCATATGATACAGCTTATTTGGAAGCTCCTTTGTTATAATTTACCTGTGCTGTATTCTTAATTGCCGGAGACCTGTGCTTCTATGTGTCCGGCATTCACGAGCAGTACAGAAATGTGGCTGTTTTCAGGCAGTGACCAGTTGGCATCAGTAAAGCTTGGTGTGCTGTCTGACACAAGCTATGAAAGGAGGTTTGAGACACAGAAATGCAGTCACTGACTTCAGCAAAAAGCTGCAAATTACTTCCATTCCCCACTTAAACCTGCCCCTCCCCAGTAGCTGAGTATCAAGATACTCAGTTGTTCGGTAGTCTCAGGCCTCTCAATAGCACATTATTATGCTGGTGTTTCAATTAATACCTGAATGTTCCTGGGAATTAGAAGTCTATGGCAGTAAAATATAACATGGCAGAAACAACGACAGGAGAGGGCGTGTAACTGCTCATATAGATTTAGATCTGTACTGGGGGTCCAGTCAGGCTGACACATCCAGCAATCTTCTTATTTTGACGTAAATAATCCTGTGCTGTCTGAAAAACAATTTATTTATGAGTTTATAGAATGAGGTTGTTAAAACACTGAGTTTCAAATTATTATTATTATTAAAAATTTCAAAAAGTATGTTTTCTCTTTCCAAAGAGGGTAAGGCTTTCTTTTCCTTTGTCTCCAGTACAAGTACAAGGAGTCATATGAGAAAGAGAAAGGCAAACAGGTTGGATACCGTAGCCTGCAGGATGATCCTAAACTTGTTCATTACATGCATGTGGCCAAAATGCAATCAGATCGTGAATACAAAAAGGATTACGAAGTCACCAAGACCAAGTATCATACTCCGTTGGACATGTTCAGCGTGACGGCTGCCAAGAAAGCCCAGGAAGCGGTTACGAACGCTGGCTACAGACAGCACATTCATGATTATACGCTCTTGCCTGATTCTGTGAATCTGGAGCTATCAAGAAATGTGATGCAGCTTCAGAGTGATGTATGTAATGATAAGTCAGCTCTTTTTTTTTCTTCTCATAGTGACTATGTTACACTATTAACCTTCTAAGGCTAAAAAATTAATATATTGAGTTCGCAGTAGATTGAGATGTCAGTGTCTGGTCTGGTACCCTCTATTTTCCACTGATTATCAGAATTATGTGTAGCTGATACATTCTATGTCACTTTCCTAGCAATTAACAACATTCATTGTATCTCTACATATTCGGCTCATTCTCAGCAGATTAACATGTTTTTCTAATCTGTGTATTTTTGTAGTTGGATTTGTAATTGTAATTACAGTGTGTTATTACTGTGATGATTATCTGTATTGTCAGAGATCATAGGTTATCTTCAGAGTCTAAATTCTGACTATATTTAAGTTTACCAAAAATATACATTATGTATATTTGTGTTATACCTAGGTATTTGAGATTCATTAATTTCATTCGCTTTTCCTTCCTGCCTTTATCCCCCAGCAGATGCGTATGCCAGGCATGATAAGGATTCATAGAAAAGCTTTGTAGCTGCCATTGTGAATTGATTCCCTTTTTGTTCACTAGTGTAACTTTAGGGTCTGCATATCTATCCAGAAAGTGTGTAGTTCAAGCTGCGTTCTCTGACTAATGTGAAATTCCCCCAGACATTAATAGAAAGTGTTCTTCAGATTCTGCGTGTGGTCTGGAGAGGGGAATGTGCATGTTCCCAGTGGCCAACAGATGGAGGAGGTGACCTTTAGACACATTGTTTTCAAATACAGAACAGAAATCTCAAGTTTTTTGCTTCCCTGTTGTCTTTTTCCCTTCCCTGGCTGAGTTGGCTGGGCTTGCTTGGCTGTCCAACTCGGGATGCTTGCAAGGACAGAAGCGTGATGCTTGAGGACAAATTTTGCCCTGTATACACGTGCTGTGAAAGTCTCTTTCTCAGGCTCTGATGTTCTCCCTGTTACTCTAGCACTGCAGATCAGGAACAGGTTTTATTTTCACAGCATTTGTGTACCTTTATCTGCCCTAAAATCTATGTCATAAGGTGTGATTAAATAGGAAGGGTGTCTATTCAAGCTTGTGCAGAACCAGGCCATGAAGCAGAAGTTGCCTGTTACTTCTAGCACTGCAGGTCAGGAACAGGTTTTTATTTTCACAGCATTTGCGTACCTTTATCTGCCCTAAAAGCCACGTCATAAGGTGTGATTAAATAGGAAGGGTGTCTATTCAAGCTTGTGCAGAACCAGGCCATTAAGCAGAAGTTGTTGAAACAATTTCTCTGAATTAATTCTACTGCAAACTGAGTCTATTAACAACCAGAGGGTCATTAAAAAATTATTATATTTTTGTCAGATTTTCATGTTTACCACTCAAAGTGTGTTCTAAGGTCTGTGTATCTGGTCTGTAGCGTGAGTTCTACTCATTGGTTTAGTGAAAAGAATTTCTTTATCCCTAACACATAAATAGTTAATGTAATGTTAATGTTATGTTAATAATTTGGAAAACAGTAGCAGTTATAACAGACTTTTCTGAATTTTCCTTCACAAATGAATGCCCAGGAGCAGGTTTAAGGCCTTACCTGTTTTCAGGTGTGTGAGCATTCTAGTTTTCCTTGTCTAACTGAGCTTTTCCTTGTTTATGTTTTAAAAGAATGTGTACAAAGCAGACTTTAATAACTGGTTGAGAGGAGTTGGCTGGATACCGATTCAGTCACTGGATGTGGAAAAGGCCAAAAAAGCTACAGAGATTCTCAGTGAAAAGAAGTACCGCCAGCACCCTGACAAGCTGAAGTATTCTATCACAATGGATGCAATGGAACAAGTGCTAGCCAAGCAAAATGCCAAGACCATGAATAAGGTGAGAATTTGCTCAGATGATCATGACTGAGCCACAGGTGGGGTCTTTGCCTTGCAAAGTCGTGGGACAGGTTCATTCCCACTCAAGGCATTAGAAATTCAGATGGGTATAGTGGTCTGCTTAGTTTTGACAGGACACTAAGAGATGATGGAAGGCTTGGACTCTATGCATAATTAAGGGAATGCTTTGGAAACCTCTGCTCTTTTTCTGCAGGAAGGAATATTCATAATCAGTGAGTTGAAAAAACCCTGAAATTCTGTCAGTTTTGTACAAAAAGTTGAATTCTTTAAATTTGTCCCTAGTTGTCTGGGACACCGTTGATCCTAATTCCATGTTTGCCATGGAAAGAGGGTGTGTGGGAAAAAAAAAATATGCTTTTCATGAAAGCAGGGAAATTGAAACTTTTCAGTTTCAATATTTATTAGTTAGCAAAGCATACTTTGCCAATTTCTCAAATAAAATACTGCAGAAAGAGGAGGAATACGATATTGCTCGGCAGTTATATTTGTGAAGATTGTTTGTAGTGCCTGCGGGACTTTACTGTGCTGTAAAATATTATTTATTGCAAATGAGCAAAGCAAAAGCAGCTCTTATTCTGTGAGTGCAATGCTTTTTCAGTGCTAAACATTACTTTGTAATTGCAGAGACTCTACACCGATAAATGGAACAAAGAGAAGACCAGCATTCATGTCATGCCAGATACTCCGGAAATTCTGCAGTCGAGAGTGAACCAGATCACCATGAGCAATGTGAGTTGCCATGCTCCCAGGGGGCATTCTGTGTCTGTTACATAGATCAGAAGGTAGTGCCATTTTTATGTCTGTTAAATGTTTTGAAAACATTTAAATCCAGATGTAGGGTACTTGAGTACTTCTGCCTTCATAACAGAGTTCTCTTCTACATTTGACATTAGAAACTTTACAAAGCTGG